TTGAGGCTCTGTCTCAAAAAAAAAAAAAAAAAAGAAAAGAAAAAATATTTGCTAGTCACTGTCAGATATGTGGTATACAAACTGAATAGGACACAGCACTTGAGCACTTAAATTGGTATTAGAAGTGGTACACTACCACTATTGCAGTCATTTTTATACTTGTTAGTTAATGGTCAATACTGTGATGTTCCTGATATTTCATTCTAAAAGCACTCAGTAAATGGCAGTGGCTATTTTTATTACTGTTTGTAAGTATGATAGCACTCTGAGACCTACAGTAAGACTTGAGTCTTTCCACTGGACTATGACCTAAATAGCTTAGTCAAGCCTTCCTAGCTTAACAGTTACTCAAATTAGAATGTAAAGAATTGCTGTGTCATGGCAATTTGAAATAAATGCAGTATGAGTCTAGGATCAGGTTGAATTTGGGTATATGTGGATGTTTATCTACCATGGAAGTAAGATGCAAGTTTATGAAACAGGTGTGCAGAAATTCCCCAGTAATAGGTACCTTTATTTGCTGTTTGTATAGGTGTTAGTTGGCTTTTGGTTCTTAAAATATGAAGCAGTTACATTTTACTTTATTCTTTACAGGAAGGCTGAAGTTACATTGGATGGAGTTTGGCCAACAGATAAAACATCTCGTTGTTTAATAAAGAGCCCAGATCGACTTGCTGATATCAACTATGAAGGGAGATTAGAAGCAGTTTCAAGGAAACAGGGAGCTCAGTTTAAAGAGTATCGGCCTGAAACTGGTTCTTGGGTGTTTAAGGTAGAGTCATTTAACTTATGTGTGACTTTTTTTCTTTTCTTTTGTCTCTTTTTTTTTTTTTGAGACAAGAGTCTCAACGTTGTCACCCTTAATAGAGCACTCTGATGTCATAGCTCACAGCAACCTCAAACTCTTAGACTGAAGTGATCTACCTGCCTCAGCCTCCCGATTAGCTGGGACTGCAAGCACATGCCACATGCCTGGCTAGTTTTTCTGTTTTTAGTAGAGATGAGATCTTGCTTTTGCTCAGGTGGGTCTCAAACTCCTGAGCTCAAGTGAGCCGCCCTGCGCAGCCTGATTCGTGATTTTTTTTTTTTTAAATTGTTGGGGAATCATTGAGGATACAAAGAACTAGGTTACACTGCTGGCATTTGTTGGTTAAAGTCACTCTTATAATTGTCCCACCCCGAAGAGGTGTATCACACTGTGATGTCACCATGCCCCTCCCTCCACTCCCCCATCCCCCACCATGTACTAGCATCAATTGTCCTTATATCATAATTGAGTACATTGGATTTTTTTTTTTTTTTTTTTGAGACAGAGCCTCAAGCTGTCCCCCTGGGTAGAGTGCCGTGGCATCACGCTCACAGCAACCTCCAACTCCTGGGCTCAAGCGTGTCTCCTGCCTCTGCCTCCCAAGTAGCTGGGACCACAGGCGCCCGCCACAACGCCCGGCTATTTTTTGGTTGCAGCCATCATTGTTTTTTTGGCGGGTCTGGGCTGGGGATTTGAACCTGCCACCTTAGGTGTACGTGGCTGGCGCCTTAGCCGGTGGTTGAGCTATAGGCGCCGAGCCGAGTACATTGGATTCTTGTTTCTTCATTCTTGTGATGTTTTACTAAGAAGAATGTGTTTTAGTTCCATCCAGGACAAACGATGTAAGGTCACTATCTTTTTTTAGTGCCTGAATAGTATTCCATGGTACACATATACCATAGCTTGTTAAACTGTTCCTGGATTAGTAGGCATTTAGGTTGTTTCCACAATTTGGCAAATGTAAATTGATCTACAGTAAACAGTCTAGTGCAAATGTCTGTATGATAAAAAGATTTTTTTTCTTCTAGGTAGATGCCCAGTAATGGGATGACACAATCAAATGGGAGGTCTATTTTGAATTCTTTGAGGATTCTCCATATTTCCTTCCAAAAAAGGTTATATTAGTTTGCAGTCCCACCAGCAGTGTAAAAGTGTTCCCTTCTCTCCACATCCATGCCAGCATTTGCAGCTTTTAGACTTTGGGGGTTTTTTTGTTTTATTTTGTTTTGTTTTTGAAACAGAACCTTAAGCTGTCCCCCTGGGTAGAGTGCTGTGACATCACAGCTCACAGCAACCTCTAATTCCTGGGCTTAAGCAAGTCTCCTCCCTCTGCCTCCCAAGTCTGGGACCACAGGCACCCACCACAATGCCTGGCTGTTTTTTGGTTGCAGCCATCGTTATTTGGTGGGCCTAGGCTGAATTCGAACCTGCCAGCTCAGGCGTATGTGACTAGCGCCTTGACCACTTGAGCCACAGGTGCTGAGCTAGCTTTGAGACTTTCATCGAGGCAGCTTTGATACTTTGTGATGTGGGCTATTCTCACGGGGGTTAGCTGATGTGTCAGGGTGGGTTTTTTTTTTTTTGCAGTTTTTGGCCAAGGCTGGGTTTGAACCCACCACTTCCAGCATACGGGGCCCACGCCCTACTCCTTTGAGCCACAGGCACCACCCTGTCAGGGTTGTTTTTCATTTGCATTTCTCTAATAATTAGTGATAAACATTTTTTCATATTTGTTAGCCCTTCGTCTGTCTTTTTTTTTTTTTTCCCAGCATAAGAAACTAGACCTACTGTACTAATAAATGTACATGTGGTGCTTGTTCAGTCTGAAAATTAGGTCAACTTAAGGAGGCAGTCAGTGTAGGAAGATGGTCAGCTATGGAGGTTGTATGGTCTGTGTTTTGCCCTAATGTGTGTCATTAAAGATTTCAGTAACTTATTAGGCAGAATTATCTATTGATACATAAACTCTACTTAAACTTTTTTAATCTTTGAAAATTTGGGGGGTGGTTAGGTTGACTTTCTGTACTTGGTAGTTTAACTCAGGGCTGATTTGATTATTTAACTTATTGAATACCCTTGTCTTGGTAGAGAACAACTAGGTAGTATGTGTAAGTGAAAATAATGGTTCTTTTGAATTTATTTTTTTAAAAGACAAGTAAAGTATGATAGATGGCATTCTGTTTTATTTTAAATATTTTGTTGTCTCTCCCTTTTTCTCAAGGTAATGCTGCAAGGTTGCAAGGGTAGATACTGTGGAAGCTTCTGAAATGAACAATGGTAATATTTATTTTGTTGGCCTTTTCTTTTTCTTAGGTCTCCCATTTTTCTAAGTATGGCCTTCAGGATTCTGATGAAGAAGAGGAGGAGAATTCATCCAAAACTAGTACTAAGAAGTTGAAGACTACCCCTTTGCCTCCTACAGGCCAGACTGCCCCTTTCCAGATGGCTCTTAATGGCAAACCTGCTCCTCCACCCCAGGTAGAGAAAGGACAGTGAATTTGAATGGAATCCATGATACGAAGTTGAAATCAAGTCATGCAGCTAATGCAAAGCTGTTTTATGACTGCTGGAACTTTGAAGAGTACAAACATAAGTTGCCAGTCTCATTGAGACAAGTACAAGGGAGGGTTATGAGGTGGTACAGACATGTGTCTTTCACTTAAGAGATTTAAAGAATTCTTTTATTGTTTGGATCATTCCTCTCAAGATTGTCATTCTTACACACCTCCCTCTCTCTCATTTGGACTCGATGAATTCTCTGCTCAGTGATCAACTTAAAATAGCATTTGCTCACGTGGGTTGATACAGAGTAAATCCTACTTTTATTGATTACCTGATGTACAGCTTACTCTTTTTTTAAAAAGATAAATTAACTTTCTGCAAAGGTTTTTAACTCTCTTTTCTTAAGTTGTTTGCTAATACTTCAGGTAACCTCTTGATCTTTGTATTTTATCAATATATAATCTTTATGAAAATAGTTTTGGAATGTAAATGAATTATTTGGCTTGGGCAGAGTAGGGTCTGCATTGTTGATTGCAATTACTTGTGTCATTGATACAAAATTTCTTTGTAAAGCATCCTCTACCTCTAAGCTACTAAAAGCTGGACCTTTGGAATTTTTCATGCTACAGTTCTAATGGCTGCTGAAATGTGTAGTTTTTATTTATTAAATCTCTTGGGAGGCATTTTCTGGAACGTGTGTATGTATATTCATGTTTGCGCGTACTGGGTGAGGGAGGGTTGAGGGTATGATAAATGAGGGAAACTGGAACTATGTCGACTTTTATGTTTATTGTCTTTGTAGCATTTAGAATACCCTAAGAAATCTCCCCTGCACTAATGAATAGACTTGGTTTTCCAGTTAATCATGTTCATTTCATCTGAATCTTTTTATTACACCCTACTTTCCTAATTACTTTTTCATTTCTTTTTTTTTTTTTGTCCTAAGTACTTTTTCATTCCATTTATTTAAGAGTCAGGTGGTCTAATTATTTTCTGTTAATAAAAGTAAATTGTAACTGTCCTAAAGAAGAAATCTCTTTTCTAATTGCTCCAAGTAAAGAAAAGCTCCCTCTGTGGGCAGGAACATTTATGTAATGTTGATTAGTAATTATCAGGTTATCAAATAACTATCAGTTATCAGGTTATTCAATTGCCAGAATACAAATACTAGAAAATAACTCTAAATTCCTCTAATGACGTTTCTGAAAGTAAAACCTCTTTGAAAAAGTAAGCCCCCAAAATTTCAAAACAAGTTTCTGGCAAAGAGAAAAGTGGAAAGGCATCAAAATGGGCAAATAGAATATAGCTTTGATTGAGGAAGTGAATGATCTTTGACCTTTTGGATGAGGAGAGAGAAATGGTTAAGAGTGTTCAGATACTTAGTCTTTATGTTTTGTTTACTTGGGTTATTTATGAAGACCTTTGAGCTCGATGTGTTAGAGCAGTTATGTGGGACTCTTGAGAACTCTACATTCATATTGCTCAGTGTCCTTGGTAAGGCAGATGAGAAATGCCAGTGGTTTGATATTAGTACCAAAGACCCTACATTTTACTTAACATGGGGAAAATTCTTGAATAGACAGCACAATGTTCTTATCCTTTCCTCAGGACGATTGTCTAGGTATTGTTTCCTGGCCCCTTGGTGAGGTTGAGTTCACAACATAACCTCAGGCTTCCTAACTTTTTCTGGAGGAGGTAGGGGTGTGTTTTTAGGTACTTAGGAAGATTTCCTTTTTTTTGTTTAATAGTCACATTTATTCTTTGTCTTTTATGTAATATCCACATTCCTTTGTTTCCATTTGGGTTTTAAGTTTTGCTTTTGCTCCTAAAACAAGTAAATCAAAGCAACTGGAAAACAATGGTAACTACATTTTTATGTGATCTCATCTGTATCTTTTAGGTTAGAGAAAATATTAACAGATAAAAGTTACTGCACAGTTGAATTAAGGTAGTTGCAGGAATATTTTGTCCTATAGTTTGAACATTAGTTTCAAAATCGTGGTCTCAGATCCAATTTCCTACTGGCTGCATCAGTAGCCTGTTGAACTTGACTTTGATTTTGTACATCTGGCATGAGGGCTCAGGCATATTTATATTTTATGCTTCTTCTCAGGTGATTGAGATGAACAACCATATTTCAGAACTGTTTGTTGAAGGACCTGAGGCTTTTGCCACTTAGAGATACATGTAGCTTTTTACCTCAGCCTTTCAAATGAAGTATAACTTGTATTCAGTACCAACAAGGCAGGCTAGTTTACTTGTTCAGAAACTTAACATTGTTCACTGAGTGTATTCACCATTCAAATAAGTTAAAAACTTTATTATTTTTCTTTTTAAGACAGAGTTTTACTTTTTCCCTTGGCTAGAATGCCATGGTGTCATAGCTCACAGCAACCTCAAACTCTTGGCTCAAGCGATCCTCTTGCCTCCCAAGTAGCTGGGACTACAATTACCCACCACAAAGCCTGTCTAGTTTTTAGAGAAGTGGTCTTGAACTTGTAAGCTCAAGCAATCCTCCTGCCTCGGCCTCCCAGAGTGCTAGGATTATAGGCATGAGCCACAGGGCCTGACCCAGTTAAAGACTTTTTATTTTTGCAGTTTTGGCTGGGGCCAGGTTTGAACCCACCACTGCCAGTTATGGGGCCAGCGCCCTACTCTTTGAGCCACAGGCTCCGCCCCCCAGTTAAAGACTTTTTAAAGGAAAAAAAGTAATTAGGATTTAGAGGAAAATTTGATTTCATATTGCGTATACTTTTATTTTAAATAAAATGGCAGCCATCTGAATTGATTTAATATTTTAATATATTTTTATGTATTTTATTTATATTACATTTAATTTTATAGCCACATGCTTGCTTGTTTCAGTGTTATTGAAGAAAAGATTGATTTTCATAATATTAGCCTGAAAAATGTTTTGTGAATTAATGTAAAAACCAAATCTACAGTTACTGATATTAAGACCTATGCCACTTTGAAACTGCTAGTTAGCTAAAAAAAAAAACCAATTAAATAGACCTATGCCTCCTGCAGTAATATCCCTAAATGTATGTGTAGAATACATACACACTTACCTTGGTGGGCCTTTTAAACCACAACTTGAATTTCTCTTGAGGATAACATATTATTGTTGACAGGGCTGATTTTTAATGAAAATGTTAAACATTTTGCCAGGTGCAGTGGCTCATGCCTATAATGAATCTCTGCACTTTGGGAAGCTGAGGTGGAAGGATCACTTGAGGTCAGGAGTTTGAGACCAGGCGTCCTCAAACTAGGGCCTGCGGGCCACATGCAGCCCACCTAGGACATTTATCTGGCCCACTAGGTATTTTTGCTGCCGCTACCTGTCCTGCTTAGCAGCTGACTTGTCCTGGGGCCCGCAGTCTGGCCCTCCAATGGTCTGAGGAACAGTGAACTGGCCCCCTGTTTAAAAAGTTTGAGGACCCCTGTCTAGACCAATCTGACCAATAGTGAGACCCTGTCTCTACACAAAATTAGAAAAATGAGCCTGTTATGGTGGCATGTACCTGTAATCCCAGCTACTCAGGAGGCTGAGGCAGGAGGATTGCTTGAGCCCCAAAATTTGAGGTTGCAGTAAGCTGTGAGGATGCCACTGCACTATAGTTCAGGTGGCAAAGCAAGAGCCTGGCTCCAAACATAAATATTGTAAAACCTTCATCTTTAGCATTCCTCCTAAAGAGAGGCTGAGCTCCTTAGATCTCTAATTTAGATCCAAATTTGCCTAAAAGTGTTCAATGTGAGCATCTCTTGCTCTTTAGTAGTATTCCTTTGTTGAGTAGTATAGTAATATGTATCCTTTCTTTCTTCCTCCCACCCATCTTCATTCCTTCTTGTGTTTTTATAGTTATTAATTGCTTTTTCTACTGTGGACCAAGCACTATTTTAGGCAATTGAAATAACAAAAGTGAGTATTTAGAGCATATTGTGCTTATGATGTGCTTGGTGTTAGATACAGAGAACAGCCATAAAACCTGTTTTTAAGTCTTGACTGTCTGGTGAGCCAACCACATACATGTGTGTGTAAGAATTTCTAATACCCCATGATACATGGTATAAAATAGATACAAACAGTATTTTGGGAGCCAAACATAGTAGGCTGTTCTCACAGGTTGGCACAAGATGGGAAGTATCAGAATTTTAAAGTTGAATTGTTTGGTTAAAAATTAACTTAATAGGAAATTTATGAAGTGAAAGTTTTCCTATAGTTCTTAGAATTAAAATGACATCTCATCACAAGGTTTTTCCCCTCTCACTTCAGGATTTTAAAGAATAAAAGTTGTCAAACCCGCCTGTAGCCTCACCAATTGCTGAGAATTAGAATCATATTTGCCTTTTGATCATTATGTAACCACCAGTTTTGTTAGAGCGGTCCTTGAGAATTTTTTCCATCTTACATGGCACTTTTCTATGTTTCTCACACCACTCATTTTTTAAACAAAGATACTTGTTAAAGGAATTCTGGGTAGTAATAGGTTCGACTAATGGTGGTTGCTTGGTCTAACAAGATTATGAAAACATTTTTTTTCTAACTACCTTTTGTAAAATCGTGTCTATTAGAGGTTTTACCTGAAATAGACCACCTGTAAAAGATCAGACATAAATCATGGAAGGATAATAATCTGCAAATGAAGTCATGGTTAGAAAAATAATTAATAGAGCTTTTTGTTTGAAAATGTTTCATAAATTTGTTCAGTCATTGGTAGTTATTTTATCAGGTGATAGTTCAGGATACATAGATTGGAAATGTATTTAACCAGCTATTTTCCTCAGCTTTTAAGTATTTATCCTTTAAAACCATAAACTATTAGTCATGGTTATATCTTTAAAACTGCTTATTAAATGTGAATATAACTGGTGATACTTTTAAACATAAAGGGATAACTCCTAGATAAAAATTATTTCTAGGTTTTTTTTTTTTTTTCTCTTTTGAGAAATTAGAGTTGATATTCCTCTTATCTTACATGATACTGCACAGGTTAGAGCCCAGGTAACTTTAGGATTCAGTATTCCAAAAGATAAATTCCAGACTCAAAACTAACTGGAAAGTTGTTTGTGATTGTTTTCCTTAAGAAAATGCGAAGTTACTGAGACGTTTGATATCTGTACCTCTTATTCTCTTTTTTCCAGAGGCTTCTGTGTACAAGGTAGTGTGAGGGCAGGGTGACCCTTTGTAAATCTGACAATTGTCGTTGCTGGTTAAATCATGTAAGCCATAGTCTTTGAGTCTTTGTCCCTGAAGACCACTGTTTGTTTCAGTATGAGTGGTAGCTTAGGTTCAAGATACCATATTATTACAAAAGGATAATTTCATGAATCCTCATTTGAATCCATTATTTCAGGACAATTAATACTAAATCACTTTTTTTTTTTGTAGTTTTTTTGGCCGGAGCTGGGCTTGAACCTGCCACCTCTGGCATATAGGGCCAGCGCCCTACTCCTTTGAGCCACAGGCACTACCCAATACTAAATCACTCTTTAGCACATCTGCTGTTGTACCTCACAATAAAATGAATAAAATTTAATATTACTGTATCATATTAATAAATCTGATCTAGAAGCTCTGTATCTTTTGGTATAACTTAATGCTGCTTTCCTGATCTTTCTGCTGTCTACAGAGTCAGAGCCCAGAGGTGGAGCAGTTAGGGAGGGTTGTGGAACTGGACAGTGATATGGTAGATATTACCCAGGAGCCAGTTTTGGATACCATGTTAGAAGAGAGCATGCCTGAGGATCAGGAACCTGTGTCTGCCTCAACGCATATTGCATCTTCACTGGGAATTAATCCACATGTCTTACAGGTGACGTTCTAACCAACCTTTATTATAACAGAAAGCCAAACTAATTATTTTATTCCTCTCTCATAACATCAGGCCTCTTTCTTGATTATTCACTTAAGAAAAAAAACAGGAATGGGCCAGTGTTTGGGCCTCATATCCCCTGAAGGGAAGGAAGGATATGTTGAGAGTCAGCAGATAGGGCTTCTGATTTTAACTGCATTAGAATCAGAGGACCTATTTTTGATTCCACTTGGTAACTTTTTATCTGTCTGACTTGAGTCAAGTCACTTAATACCTGTGAGCACTGATTTTTCTCCAGAAAATATTACTTTGCCTATTTCACAAGGATTGTTTTGAGGATCTGGAAAGTGCTCTACAAAATTTAAAAATTTAAAAACATGGTAGACACATGTTTTATTAATCTCTGTCTAGTTCCCTTGCCAAAGCCTTTTTAGCAAACATAAGCAACTGCTATGTGCCATGATCTAGCATAACTTTTTAGATACAAGAGAGAGGTTTATTAATGTTGACTTTTGCCTTTCAGGCACATACAGTATAATATGGTTAGTCACACAGATGTTATACTGGCTCTAGGTAACAGCCTTGAGGAGGAATGATATTTTTGGTTGTTGTAAACTGCATTTTTCTTTTTTGACCTTTCCTGGGGAGCACATTCATTCTATAGATATTGCCTTTTTAGATCATGAAAGCATCATTGCTTGCTGATGAAGAAGATGTAGATATGGTGCTGGATCAACACGTCAGTCGCCTTCCTTCCAAAGCAGATAATTCTCAAGAAATCTGTTCTCCCAGGCTCCCCATTTCAGCATCCCACTCAACAAAATCTCGTTCACTAGGTACTGTATAAAATGTACTGTTACACAAAAAAAATCTATAGAGTTATTAAGTCTTGCTTTTCACATACCTTCAGTGCTGAGTGAAGTTCTCCAGCAGATACCCCCTGATAGTTGTGCCTATGATAAGGAAGCCAAGATAAATTGTACTCTTCTAAATACCAGTTTTTAAGAAACATAATTACCTCAATTGGTACAGATACAGAAGTTGTATGGAGAAAAAAAGTATTTATACTTTATTAGGGTCTATTTGTTTGTTTTTGAGACAGAGAGCCTCACTTGGTCACCCTTGGTAGAGTGCCATGGCTTCTTAGTTCATAGCAACCTCAGATTCTTGGGTTCAAGTGATCTTCTTGCCTCAGCCTTCCAAGTAGCTGGGATTACAAATGCCTGCCACAACACCTGGCTATTTTTTAGAGACGAAGTCTAATTCTGGCTCAATTTGGTCTCAGACCTTTGAGTTTAGGCAGTCCACCTGCCTTGGCCTCCCAAGTGCTGGGATTATAGGCATGAACCACCGCACTCAGCTTTTTTTTATTTCTTTTTTTGAGACAGAATCTCATTCTGTTGCTTAGGCTAGAGTGCCCTGGGATTAGCTTAGCTCACAGCAACCTCAAACTCCTTGATTCAAGCTAGCCTCCTGCCTCAGTCTCCCAAATAGCTGGGATTACAGGCACTTGCCACAATGCCTGGCCAATTTTTTCTATTTTTAGTAGAAATGGGGTCTCTTGTTCTGGTTGGCGTCAAACTCCTGAACTGAAGGCATTCTCCCTCCTCAACCTCCCAGGGTACTAGGATTACAGGTGCAAGTCACCATGCCCACCCTTGGGTCATGTTTTTATTTGCTTACGGATATGGATTAGATAACAACTCTGATTTCCTAATGTTTATATTAATTTCTTAGAGAATTCAGCAAGTTATTCTGCGCTGTACTCTTTCTTACAGTCCCAACACTGTCCTATTGTCTTTTAGGGACAAATGTTTTTTCTTACAATACCCATTAGAATTCTACTTTTTTGGGGCAGCGCCTGTGGCTCAAAGGAGTAGGGTGCCAGCTCCATATGCTGCAGGTGGCAGGTTCAGACCCAACTCTGGCCAAAAACGGCAAAAAAAAAAAAAAAAAAAATTTTTTTTTTACTTTTTCCTAAACATTTTTATATTCCTAGGCAGATGATTACATATTTTATTATAAAGCTTTTCTTTTTCTAGTGGTCTTACAGCTTTGGGATTAGAAATAGAGTATTGCTATCAGCAGAAGATAAAAGCAGACATAATTAATTTTAAAATATTTTGAAAACCAGAGGAACTACCAGGAAGGCATTTGTTTATATTGTTTAAAAACTTACATTTGGTTTCATACACTATAAACATTCTTTCTTTGGAGACAGAGTCTCAAGCTGATGCCTTGTATAGAGTGCTGTGGTGTCACAGCTCACAGCAACCTCCGACTCTTAGGCTTAAGTGATTCTCTTGCCTCAGCCTCCTGGGTAACTGGCACTATTGGCACCCACCACAATGCCTGGCTATTTTTTGTTGCAATTCTCATTGCTGTTTTAGCTGGCTGAGGCTGGGTTTAAACCTGCCACCCTTGGTGTATGGGGCTGGTGCCCTACCCACTGAGCCATAGGTGCCCCCCAAAGGATCCTTTCTGTTTTTTGTTGTTTACAAAAGAAACAATAGCCATTATTTTGTAATAGTCCTTTTTTTCTCCTTATTTCAGTTGGTGGGTTACTGCAATCAAAATTTACAAGTGGAGCTTTCCTTTCACCAAGTGCCTCTGTGCAAGAATGTCGCACTCCCAGAACATCATCTTTAGTGAATATTCCATCCACATCCTCTTGGTCTGTCCCTCCAACCCTGACTGCTGTGTTTACAGTGCCCAGTCCAGCTCCCGAGGTTCAGTTGAAAACAGTGGGTACACGAAGGCAACCAGGTCTAGTCCCTCTTGAAAAGTCTGTCACCTATGGCAAGGGGAAACTCTTGATGGACATGGCCCTATTTATGGGACGTTCATTTCGTGTTGGTTGGGGCCCTAACTGGACTCTTGCTAATAGTGGAGAACAGTTGAATGGCTCTCATGAACTGGAAAATCATCAGATTGCCGATTCTATGGAATATGGATTCCTGCCCAATTCAGTAGCTGTTAAATCGTGAGTTATACTTTATTTATTTATTTATTTATTTTTCTGAGACAGAGTCTTTGTTGCCCTGAGTAGAGTGCTATGGTGTCATTGTAGGTCACAGAAACCTCAAACTCTTGGGCTCAAGCAATCATCTTGCCTGAGACTCCTGAGTAGATGGGACTACAGGTGCCCGCCACACCACTTAACTATTTATAAAGACAGGATCGTGCTCTTGCTCAGGCTGGTCTTAAAGTTCTGAGCTCAAGCAGCACACCCGCCTCAGCCTCCCAGAGTGCTAGGATTACAGGTGTGAGTCACAGCGCCTGGCTTTGAGTTGCATTTCTTGATGCTTTTTGAGAAAGGGAGCATGATAGGTGCAAAACAATAAACTGTCCATTTTTTGGCGATCAAATGCTTTGTTAACTTTCTAGATGTTTCTTTCTAGATACATATTTTTTATTATTTCTGGATATATTTCAGAGATACATACATGTATATGATAGATACATGCCTTAGAGATTATATGTAAGTATTTCTTATAATTATCAGTGTATATACAGTTCCCTATACAAAATTACTATAGATTAGGCTCGGTGCCTATAGCTCAACCGGCTAAGGCACCAGCCACGTACACCTAAGGTGGCGGGTTCGAATCCCCAGCCCGGACCCGCCAAAACAACAATGATGGCTGCAACCAAAAAATAGCCGGGCGTTGTGGCGGGCGCCTGTGGTCCCAGCTACTTGGGAGGCGGAGGCAGGAGACTCGCTTGAGCCCAGGAGTTGGAGGTTGCTGTGAGCTGTGATGCCACGGCACTCTACCCAGGGGGACTGCTTGAGGCACTGTCTCAAAAAAAAAAAAAGCAAAATTACTATAGATTAAATGAAAGTTACCAACTATTATCCTTCATGTTTAACATTAACTTAAAATAGTATCTCTTGGGTGGCACCTGTGGCTCAGTGAGTAGGGTGCCAGCCCCATATACCGAGGGTGGTGGGTTCAAACCCAGCACCAGCCAAACTGCAACAAAAAAGTTTTGTTTGGTTTTTCTTTTGAGAACAGGTTTCCCACTATCACTTTTGAACCTTGGGTTTTACAGTATGCTACTCAGATACATGCTAAAGCCAGTTGCATATTATACTGATAGCCATGTTTGTTATAATCTGACCTAAGAAGCCTTTGGGTTCTAAATGTGTAGGTCATATAATTTATTTACTCAGTAAATAGCAAATGAGTTCAGTACAATTTAACATTAGTATACAAAATTTCTTTTTTTTTTTTTTTTTGAGACAGAGTCTCACTATGTTACCCTTGGTAGAGTGCTGTGCTGTCACAGCTCACAGCAACCTCAAACTCTTGGGCTTAAGCAATTCTCTTGTCTCGGCCTCCCAAGTAGTGGGGACTATAGGTGCCCACTACAATGCCTAGCTGTTTTTCTGTTGCAGTTGTCATTGTTACTTAGCTGGCCTGGGCTAGGTTCGAACCCGCCAGCCTTGGTATATATGGCAGATGCTGTAACCATTGTGCTATGGGCACCACAAAATTTCTTTAAAATCACAATGACATGTTTTGCATTCTGTTTGTAATCATAAAAAGAAAACAAGGTTTGGTTGAAGGGAAATCCTAGCTTCTATCTTATCTTCATTTTCTATCTTGTTCCTTATTTGCTATTGTAGCCTAACTGAGTCACCATTTAAAGTTCACTTGGAAAAACTCAGTTTGAGACAAAGGAAGCTGGATGAAGACCTGCAGTTATACCAGACACCTCTGGAGCTCAAGTTGAAACATAGCACCGTTCATGTGGATGAGTTGTGTCCTCTCGTTATCCCTAATCCAGGAGTTGCTGTCATTCATGACTATGCAGATTGGGTTAAGGAAGCATCAGGAGATTTAAGAGAAGCACAAAGTGAGTACACACACACTTCCGTGTCTTGCCTTTGATGTCTCAGGAATAGGAGTAGAAGGACAATTTCCTTACAACAGTCCAGTAGGTAGGCTCGGCGCCTGTGGCTCAAGTGGCTAAGGCGCCAGCCACATACACCTAAGGTGGTAGGTTCAAATCCAACCTGGGCCCGCCAAACAACAATGATAGCTGCAACCAAAAAATAGCCAGGTGTTGTGGCGTTGGAGGTTGCTGTGAGCTGGGATGCCACGGCACTCTACCCAGGGGGACAGCTTGATGCTCTGTCTCAAAAAAAAAAAAAATAGTCCAGTAGGTAGATTCCTGAGTTTGACCTTTTTTGTAGTCGTTTCAATAAGCAGAATCCCAAGAAGAAATTGTCAGTATGTTTTTATCATTGTGTTCTGTGCCCTTTAATGTACAAATCCTTCCTCGAAAGACTGTAGGCAATCAGATCATATGGAGTTAATTTTGCATTCCTTCTCTAACTTAGAGAACATAGGAGGAGTACTTTGCTAAAGCGTTTTTCTAATTTGGGAACTTAGTATTTAATATTTTAAACAGTAGAAAAATTGTTTACACGTTTAGCATATGAAAAACAGAGACTTTAAAAATAGAGACGTAGACATTTGGAATCAAATAGAAAACCAGGAAATGAAGCTAACATCTTCATTTAGCACATTGTTTAGCACATTGAAAAACAGAGACTTTAAAAATAGAGACGTAGACATTTGGAATAGAGACATAGACATTGTTTAGCACATTGAAAAACAGAGACTTTAAAAATAGAGACGTAGACATTTGGAATCAAATAGAAAACCAGGAAATGAAACTAACATCTTACAACCACCTGATCTTTGGTAAACCAAACAAGAACATATCTTGGGGGAAAGACTCCCTATTCAATAAATGGTGCTAGGAGAACTGGATATCCATATGTAAAAGACTGAAACTGGACCCACACCATTCTCCACTCACGAAAATTGATTTAAGATGGATAAAGGACTTAAATTTAAGGCATGAAACAATAAAAATCCTCAAAGAAAGCATAGGAAAAACACTGGAAGATATCAGCCTGGGGGAAAGACTTCATGAAGACTGCCGTGGCAATTGCAACAACAACAAAAATAAACAAATGGGAATTAATTAAACTGAAAAGCTTCTGTATAGCTAAGGTGACAACAACCAAAGCAAATAGACAACCTACACAATGGGAAAGGATATTTGCATATTTTGAATCAGATAGAAGCTCGATAACTAGGATCTGTATAGAACTCAAATTAATCCACATGAAAAAAGCCAACAATTCCATATATCAATGGGCAAGAGATATGAATAGAATCTTCTCTAAAGATAGCTGAATGGCTAACAAACATGAAAAAATGCTCATCAACCCTAATTAGTAGAGAAATGCAAATCAAAACCACCCTGAGATATTATCTAACCCCAGGGAGAATGGCTCACATCACAAAATCTCAAAACTACAGATGCTGGTGTGGATGTGTAGAGAAGGGAATATTTTTACACTGCTGGTGGGACTGTAAACTAATACACCCTTTTTGGAAGGAAGTATGGAGAACCTTCAAAGAACTCCAGCTAGACCTCCCATTTGATCCTGCAGTCCCATTACTGGGCATATACCCAGAAGGAAAAAAATCCTGTTATCATAAGGACACTTGCAGTAGACTGTTTATTGCAGCTCAATTTATAATCGCCAAAATGTAGAAACAGCCTAAATGCCCACCAACCAAGGAATGGATTAACAAGCTGTGGTATATGTACACCATGGCATACTATTCAGCCATTAAAAAAATGGAGACTTGGGTAGCACCTGTGGCTCAAAGGAGTAGGGCGCTGGCCCCATATGCTGGAGGTGGTGGGTTCAAACCCAGCCTGGGCCAAAAACTGCAAAAGAAAAATGGAGACTTAACATCCTTTGTATTAACCTGGATGGAAGTGGAACACATTATTCTTAGTAAAGCATCACAAGAATGGAGAAGCATGAATCCTGTGTACTCAATTTTGATATGAGGACAATTAATGACATGGTGGGGGTGGGGGAAGGGGAGAGCAGTGAGAGAAAGAAGGAGGGAGGAGGGATAGGGGAAAGGAAGGGCAGACAGAGGGAAGGAGGGGGAGGGGGTAGGGTCTTCGCGGGTGCCACACCTTTTGGGGGCAAGACACAATTGTAAGAGGGACTTTACCTAACAAATGCAATCAGTTTAACCTGGTTTCTTGGACCCTCAATGAATCTGCAACAACAACAAAAAAGAAAAACGGAGACTTTCAGAATGTCCAATATAACATTGAGACTTATGTTCCGTCCTTGTGTTTGCTTTGTTGTCGCATCTTCTTTTCAAATGTGTAAGATATTTTCATAATGCATATAAGTGTCTGAAAGTGATAAACAGTGCTTTCTTTTTCTTTTATTTCTTGAGGGGCAATATAGCAAAGTAGTTAAAAGAATGGAATTGGGCTGGGTGTACTCTGGGAGGCTGAGGTGGGAGGATTGCTAGAGGTCAGGAGTTTGAGACCATCCTGAGCAATGTGAGACCACATCTCTATGAAAAATAGAAAAATTAGCCAGGCATGGTAGCACTTACCTATAGTCCCAACTGCTTGGGAGGCTGAGGCAGGAGAATCGCTTGAGCCCAGAAGTTTGAGGTTGCTGTGAGCTAGGCTGAGGCCATGGCACTCTAGCCCAGGCAAGAACAAGATTCTGTCTCAAATAAGAAAACAAATGGAATTGAGCTTTGTTTACTTGCATTCAGATTCTGTCTCAAATAAGAAAACAAATGGAATTGAGCTTTGTTTACTTGCATTCAGATTCTGTCTCTGCTGCATAACTCTTTTACTTTGAGCAGTCTCAGGTAAACTCAATAAATGTTAAGCTGTGCCTGTATTAAAAGAGGATACTCGAGCGGCGCCTGCCCCATATACCAAGAGTGGTGGGTTTGAACTCGGCCCTGGCCAAACTGCAACAACAATAACAAAAAATAGCCGGGCATTGTGGTGGGCACCTATAGTCCCAGGTACTCTGGAGGCGGAGGCAAGAGAATCACCTAAGCCCAGGAGTTGGAGGTTGCTGTGAGCTGTGATGTCACTGCACTCTATCGAGAGTGATAAAGTGAGACACACTGTCTTAAGAAAGAAAAAAGAGAATACTCCTTGGCTCAGCACCTATAGCTAAGTGACTAAGGCGCCAGCCACCTACACTAGAGCTGGCGGGTTCAAATTCACCCTGGGCCTGCCAAATAATGACAACTACAACCAAAAAATAGCCGGGCCTTGTGGCAGGTGCCTTTAGTCCCAGGTACTTGGGAGGCTGAGGCAAGAGAGTTGCTTAAGCCCAGGAGTTGGAGGTTGCTATGAGCTGTGATGCCATGGCACACTACTTAGGGCGACAGTTTGAGGCTCTGTCTCAAAAAAGAAAAAAGAGAAAATACTCCAAGTTTTTAGAGCACTTGATGTTTCTTGAAGTATTTTGTAGACAGAATATGATCAAATTAGATGATCTCTCTATCTGACATATTAGCCATAATTAGGATAAGGGTACCTATTTAAGGGAGCATAGAATTATATCTGTTATGTTAGTACCACAGAAATATGGAATGAGCAAGCAGTTACATACCTCTAGAACTTGTAAAACTGAGTGAGGTAGAGATAGATTCAGTTTAATCAACTTGTGTGGTAGTTTGGAGTGTTTATTAATTTATATATTTTTACATTATAGTTAAAGTGATGCCGTCTGTGAGGTTAATTGTAAGACTTCATGTGATAGCATTGTTTTTCTGTCCCTCTCTTAGTTGTGAAGCACTGGAGCCTGACATGGACATTATGTGAAGCTCTGTGGGGCCATCTGAAAGAGCTTGACAGCCAGCTGGATGAGCCTAGTGAATACATTCAGATTCTAGAGCGGCGAAGAGCTTTCTCTCGCTGGCTATCCCTTACTGCCGCACCTCAGATTGAAGAGGAAGTCTCCTTAACCCGAAAGGACAACCCTGTCGAAGCTGTGTTCAGCTACCTCACAGGCAAGAGGATCAGTGAGGCCTGCTCTCTGGCCCAGCAGTCAGGTAGGGAATATAGTTTTTTCTGTATCCCTGTCCACTTCCTACTCACTGTCTAACTCCTAGTTGTGGATTTACTTTTATCTTCTAACCTATGAGTATTAAGTATAGACTTTCCTTGCAGAAAGATTCCTGGTTCCCCCAGGATAAGGACCATGTCTTTCAGTTCTCTTAGAACCTTAAAAACATTAAATTTACTTGATCAAAATTATTTCAATTTCTTATAACAAATGCATTTGTAATAAAACTAGAAAATGGAGAGATAGGCAAGCAATAAATCAAAACTATCTAAATTCTATGACTACTACTCACTGTAAACATTTTAATGTACAATTTGTATTTAGGAAGTCTCCTTTGTGATACATAAATTATATACAAATATATGAGCACAGTATGATATATGCACGTAAACTGTTTAAAAATGATATTTTGCCAATTGCTATAATAATTTCATTTTCATCTATCACGTTAAAAGTGTCTTATGTATAGGTAAAACTATAGATGCTTCTCAGCATTCTTTAGTGTATCAATGTACCATATTAACAAATTCTTTGATATTGAGACTCGTTTTCTTTATTTCTTTTTTTCTGTAAATTCAAGTCTTTTTCAAATAAATATGTATAGAAGTCTTTAAAAAACAAAAAAGCCAAAAAAGTCTTTAAAAACCCAAGGTTTCCAAATTTATTTGGCCTTTTTGTTTTTTAAAGACTTCCCATGCATATATTTAAATAATTTTTTTTTTTATTGAGACAGAGTCTCAGGTGGCGCCTGTGGCTCAGTGGGTAGGGCGCCAGCCCCATATACTGAGGGTGGTGGACTCGAATTTGGCCCCAGCCACACTGCATCAGAAAAAAATAGCTGGGCGTTAATGTTGGGTACCTGTTATCTTAAGAGGCTGAGGCAAGAGAATTGCCTAAGCCCAGAAGTTGGAGATTACTGAGACCTGTGACACCATGGCACTTCCGAGGGCAAAAAGTCAGACTCTGTCTCTAAAAAAAAGAAAGAAAGAAAATGCAGAGACAGAGTCTCACTTTCTTGTCCTCGGTATACCAAGTGCATGGCATCAAACTCACAGCAATCTCAAAACTCTTGGGCTCAAGCGATTATCTTGCCTTAGCCTCCCTAGTAGCTGGGACTACAGGCACCTGCCACAATTCCTGGCTTTGTTTGTTTGTTTTTGTTCAGCAGGCCTGGGCCGGGTTCGAGCCCACCAGCCTTGGAGCATGTGGCTGGCGCCCTAACCACTGAGTTACAGGTGCCCAGCCTATTTCAATATTTTTTTTTTATTAAGTCATTCATACGTTTATCATAGGTACATTTATGCCATAATAGGATTCAGTGTGTTGATTATTTGTACAAATTGGAATGCTTACATCCTATTTCAATATTTCTTAATTTTCCTTTCACTAATGAGGCCTTCAGCAAGTGCTTAATGACTGTCTAGACCTAGGGGTTCTCAAGCTTCCTAATGCCGCAACCCCTTAATACTGTGACCCACAACCATAAAATTATTTTTGCTGCTATTTCATAACTATAATTTTGCTACTGTTATGAATAGTAATGTAAATGTCTATATATGCAGGATGTATTTTTTGGGGGGGCTGGGGCTGGGTTTGAACCCACCACCTTCAGCATATGGGGCCGGCGCCCTACTCCTTTGAGCCATAGGTGCTGCCCGTGCAGGATGTATTTTCATTGTTACTAAGGGGTCCTGACCCACAGGTTAAGAACTGCTGCTCTGGCTCGGCGCCTATAGCTCAACCGGCTAAGGCGCCAGCCACGTACACCTAAGGTGGCGGGTTCGAATCCC